TCAACTACAAGGTTAAGTATTCAAAATGAACCAAAGAACAGTTGAAAGTTAAACATCCCCCCTTCTGCTCCCCTTCTCCACAGAGACAACCACCAGTAGCAGTTTCTTGTATGTCCATACCAGAGATGTTTCACCTCACAGAAATCTATAAGTGTGGCAGACACAAGAACACACCCTTTACTACATATGGCAGTATACATGCATACTGTTTTAGGCTTTTTTTTTTTTAATAGAATGAATTTTGGAGAGTATTTCCTAGGGGTAGACAGACAGGTAGATATTCAATGGTCCCACCACAGTCTCTTCTCCTCCATTGTCCTTTCAGTATTTGGGGCTAGCATGCACACATACCCAGCATGATTTTCAAACTGCCAGGTCCAGGACTTGAACCCCACAGCTGGCCATGTGGGATCTAGCAATTTAACTACCACACCACCTGCTGGCCCTATCTCATCTTTTTTAATGGTTATTAGATTTTGCTGGATGGTTGAGCCAGAATCTGTTTATATGTAAGTTTCTTATAGTATCAATCTTTATAACGTAATTGCTAAATTGGGAGTATATGTATTTTTTTATTTTGATTCATTCTTCCCAAGAGGTTGTACCAGTTGAGTCACTCACCAACAACAAACAATAAGGTCTGCTTTCTCCAACCTCTGCCAATTTTATGCATGTTCAGTGTCTACATTTCTTTAGAATAAATTTCATTTATTCAGTCAGTCAACAAATGTTCAGTAACCATTTACTCTATGGCATATACTGTGCTAGGTACAGGGGATACAAAGTCCAATGGGGCATTGCCTCCACTTTCAGAAGCTTCCAGCCCAAGGAAGGTGTAAGAACACCAGTGACTGCAGAACAATGCTATCCATCCTGGGACACATGGGTATGAAGGGTTATAAGAGTCCAGAAGAAAGGAAGCTATTGGATTGTCAGGAAAGTCATAATATATTTTTCTATGCAAAAATGCATCATGACTTTCCTGACAACCTAAACATCATACTGTGGCATCAGGGAGGCTTCCTGGAAAGGTTAACACCTGAGCTGAATTCTGAGACAAGATTGAAGGTTAGCAGACGAATGAAAAGACCACCAAGAGGGTAGAAAGTGCTCAGGAGAGACCATCTGTGAGAGGTGGAGAACTGGGGTTCTTTGGAGTACCTGAAGTGAAAGGTACAAACTGCAGAGAGGTGAAGGAGGGTATGGAGACCCAAGAGGAACCACACCACAAAGGGTTTTCTTCTAGGGCTTAGGTGCCAGCGTTCCTGTTTACATTTCCACCACTGATTCCGTGGATTGCTCCAGCAACAAACTACAGACCCAATCACCAGTGTGAACTTGAATAAGTTATGGTTAAAACTGAGGAGAACAGTAGAGTGGAGTATGGCCTTCTTTTCCCTGCCTCCCATGTAGAAACACAGTCCATCCAGATGAGAAATGGAAGCAATAGAGAGGTGGTATAGCATAGACCCTTGCTACTCAAACTGTGGTTCTCGAACCAGCACCTGGAAACTTGTCAGAAACCCATATGCTCAGGCCTCACTCCAGACCTGCTGAATTGAAATCTGCATTTTAAGAAGATTCCCAGATGATTCATGTGTTCATTAAAGGTTGGAAAGTACTGTCATAGTGTTTAAGGATTCAGGCTTTGGCATCAAACTGAAATGGACTGAAGTCCAGCAAATTATTGGGACTTATGATCTTGGACATATTATTTAACTTCAATGAGCCTCATCTGCCTGATAATTAAAATGGAATAATGATAGTAACTACATCAGTGCTGTTATGATGACTGGATGATATATACAAAAGCACTCAGCAAAGTGCTTGACTTTGCTATATGGTTTCAATAAATAAAATCCAGTGATATAATAATTTTAGAACCCTTAAGGGTATTGCTCAGAGATCACCTTCCACAAAAGGGTTTGTACGAGTTTTAGGAGTTTTGCAATAGACACAAATCCAACCAGTGAGGTACCTGGCTGCCAAAAAGCTCTTATTTGAAAAGCACATGACACCACAAGTTATATATCTTTCCCTTCAGAGAAACAGACTGGCCAAAGGACAGGTAGTGGGCAGGGGCACTATGTTCTAAGTGCTCTGTGCCAAGTTCCTCAGTGTTAATGGACCATACAAGAAACCAGTGGACTGGACCAAAAGGACTATGAAGGACCTTTCCCTGAAAATACAGGTGTGTGGTGACTACAGGTTAACTGGCACCTGCCCCTGATGCCTGCAGGCTGGGCCTGTTACCAATGCCAGAGAGAGGTAGGCCCTTTGCAAAGGAGACTTCTTTTTAATGCACTATCTTATTGGGCAATGATTTATAAAAGACAGTTTTAACAAAGAGACACCAAAAGTTAACCAGTGATAAGGTAATATGGTATCCTAAAAAGAAAAAATCAGTCAACAAATGTTTTGAGTATCTGCAATCAGCCAGGCACTGGGGACATATCAGAGATAGTCTCTGCCCTCACCACACCTACAGACTAGAGGGTAAATAGACATGGAATAAATAACAGTTTAGTCACTTTCATGTAAATACATAATTCACAGCTGGAAGAGGCCAGAAGCCAGGTGGTATGAAAACTGTCCTAGTTCTGACTCTGAATCAATGCATGATCTTAAGCAGTTCACTCCCCACCAACCTCACTCCACAACCACACTAGGTTTTTATTATTAGAAAAATAGGGCATTTTATGGTTCCAAGCTTGTTTCCCAACTTTAGATATCTTTAGTAAGGATTAAAAGTGTTCCGTTAAGAGAGAGAGAGAGAGAACCAGCCTCCAACAGGGTATATTTTTTATTGGGGGGGGAGGGTTTGTTTTGTTTTGTTTTGTTTTGTTTTGTTTTTTGCTATAGGGCACGTGTGCTCGCCAGGAAGATAGAGAGAGACAGAGAGACAGAAAGCAAGAAATCACCCCCCGGGGGGATGGCCACGCTGCAATCCCTTCTCTTCATTCTCCTCTTGGGATCTTGGGCACGCACGCACACGCGCCTGGCATGAGTTTAAGCCACTGGGTCCGGGACACGAACCACGGTCGACTACATGGGAGTCCAGCTACATAGCCATTACACTAACTGCTGATCCCTCCAACAGGGTCTTGATGCTGAAATCTACTTTCAGCTTTAGTCAGCCCCAGATCAATGGACACCTGAGTATGCCAGGGAGGTGCTGGATGCAAACCTGGAAACTTCCCATGTGGGTCAGCCTCACAGAACATCACATCTTAGCCCTGCACCATCATTCAGCCCCTGACCCTCCTCCTCAGTCTTTACCCTGCATGAATCAGTCAAGATTTCTTTGGCCTTTTTTTTTTTTTTTTTTTGAGAGAGAGAGAGAGAGATTTTTGCTTTAGGGTATGTACACTCACCAGAGACAGAAAGCAAGAAATCACCCCCCAGGGGAAATGGGTACACCACAATCCCTTCTCCTCCATTTTTCTCTCAGGATCTTGGGCATGCACTCACATGTGCCCAATGTGAGGTTTAAGCCATCAGGTCCAGGACTCAAACTGTAGTTGACTACATGGGAGTCCAGTGATATAACCATTATGCCATATGCTGGTCCCTGACTCAATCTATCTTTTTAAACCACTGACTCTATTCTAAACTTTAATTTAGTTGTTAACTTTAAACACTGATAAAAATGGTCTTATGTTGAAACTCCTTTGCAGAATGACTTTTACATACTTAACTACTGAGAGCTGGTGCTTCGTTCTCCTGCTTCAAATAAACCTGTAGTTAAAGCTCTAGATGATAAAACCTTATAGAAAACTCAGTCTCTACTCTGAGACTCTTACCTTCTGTCTAGAGAAATTAAATATGAACATAAGAAAAGTGATTTTTAAATGTAAGTCAGGTCAAGATGGCAACAGGAAGGTAGGAAAAGCCAGATGCTGCTGCTGCTGCTACTGCTGCTTCCACCACCACCTCCACTCCAGAGCCTAGGTGAAGCTGTCTTGGCATGTGACTCTGGGAGGAAAGTGGTGGAGCTAGGACTGGAGAAAATAAAGAGATGAGATGAGATGAGATGAGATGAGATGAGATGAGATGAGATGAGATGAGATGAGATGAAATGAGATGATGAAGTGAAATGAGATGAGGTGAGATGACATGACATGAGATAAGAGGTCTACATTTAGTGAATTCCAAAGAAATAGACCAATTGGCAACTTCTGCAAAGATGTGAAAAATTGGAATTCCTTATCAGAGATATACCAGAGAGCAAAAGAAGGAAGGAAGGAAACAGGTTATATATCTTCTCTGCTTTAGCTTGAAAAGTTAAGAGATTTGGCAAACTAGACCAGCACCAAAGCATTTCACTAGGTATAACAGTTACCACTCTTTACATAGCGTAGGACTTGCCTCACAGCTCCCACCATGTCGTCTACCATGGCCCTCTACTCTCATTCACCTTATAGTCTTAACTCCATGGACATTCTGAATTCAAGAACCTACTATTGGGGATCAGAAAAAAAGAGAATTCATTGCATGCTGGATAAGACCTCAATCATATGTGGGACTTCTCATGGTTACTGAAGTCCAAGTAGGATTTTTGTAGACAACAAAGTGTGAACAGAGGCTCAGAAGTGTAGTACACATACAGGAAGCAGCAAACAGATCACTAGACTGGGCCGAGGGTCTGCGCCAAGAAGTGGAGGGGGTGAAGAGTAGGGATGCAATCTTGGAAAGAATTAGGGTTACATAAAAATGGATTGTGTTAACAACAGAGATATCCTAAAGTTTTGTGAAGTCAAGAGTACCAAGAGGAAAACAGCGTTTTAGGAAGATTGCATAGATAAAGGGTTAGAAACAAAAGAGCTGAGAGGCAGCAACATCAGTTTAGAAGCCGGAATAGAAATCGGATTTGAACACAGCTAAAAGCAGCAGTCTTAGGAAACTATATCATCCTGTCTCCAAGGCATACATAAAGTTTGCAGGAGGGAGCCTTCCTTCCCAGTCCCTGCAATAAAGACACTCAAGACTTTCTCTTCCAGGAAAAAGATGTGACTCCAGATAAAAACCTACTAACCAAGGTTCAAAATGCTGCATTATGGCTAGAGACCTTGTCAGACACCAGACCAACCAAGCCTTCTCTCTCCACCACCTCCTCCATTGCTGACTTCTTTCTTGCCCTGACCATCTGCAACTCCGTCATGGTGTCCACCACCACTGAGCCCAGAGAGAGGGTAAGAACTAGTTAGTGATGGCTGGGGCTAGGAGACCAGGGAGGTAGGGAAGTAGAAGATGGGGTATGGCCAAGGGGAGAGATCTTGATTAGGGTGACATGACACTTGAGTCCTAGCCATAGCATCACTATTTCATCACTGTAAGATCTTGAAGAGGTCCCTGACCCCTTCTGGGTATGCTTCCTCAAATTTTTAAACAAAAGAGGAAATGTTATATATAAGCTCTCTGTATAGCTTTACAATTTTATCTTTGTCTATAGGATAGATATTAGGAGTTAATATTTACTGAGCATTCCATGCCAAACACTTTACCTGCATTATCATTTAATCTGCATAACTCAATAATTCTATGAGGTATGTCCTTGGGTTTATCAAGTAAAGAAATGGTGCCTCAGTGAACTTGAGTAACTTAAGGAAGGGTGTGTAGTTAATACATGGCAGAACCATCTGTATGACTCCATCATGGCATCATGGCTCCTGATAATATTATATTAAAGTCATCTGTGCTTTTATACCAGGGGTTAAAAAATAATTGATATTTTGTATAATGTTCTTCCTATGGAAATTATACAGCCAGGTAGTTATTTATGTAAGTTATATGTTAAAATCTACCTGTCTTCAATTTTTTCACAAAATTTCAACCAAGCTACCTGAGAGTTACTGATGAGAATAAGTAGGTGGTATAATCTGTGGCTATGAAACCTCTCCTTATCATGCCCAGTTCCCAAACCACCCTGAAAAGTCACCAAGACATCAGAAGTCTTCAGAGATCTTTGGGAGGCAACAAGCACTACATGAAAAATTAGCTCTACTTTTGAGAAGCAAAGAAGTACCACACACTGAGAACAGCACCCAACTCTTGATTTTCAAGTTAATGAGAGGGCAAATATCTCAAGAGCCTAATCTCTGGAGTTAGACTGACCTTGATTTGAGTCCTAGCTCTACTACCTAAATACTCACTGAGTGATCATGGCCAATTTATTCAACCTCTTTGCATTTCAGTTTCCTCATCCATAAATCGAGGTGATGATAGTATCTCATTGAGTTGCTGGGAGGATGAAATGAGATTCTACACACAAAGATAAAACAGATAAGCTTAGGGTATGGGTTCAGGGAATGTGGGATCTTATTATGGGTATCTGATTTTGTCTCCTTTTCTTTCTTTTGTCCATGATAAAGAATGGCATGAGCAAAATACAGAGGAAAACTATCATTGTCAACTCCTAAAACAACAGGGCTAGAAAGAAACATCTGCCCTAATCCTCTCATTTTATGGGTGGATTAACTGAGGCCTATAGAAAAGAAGAGACTTCTTATGATTACAGAAGTCCTAAATAACTCACTTATTACAAAATTACCTTCATATTCATGTAGCTTGATATTATTTCCAACTTTGAGAGTAATGTTCTGCTTTCCTCTTTTGACCACAAGGTCACCATTCCACCCTCAACCAAGGCTCTGGGGACCTCCCTAGAGAAGATCCAGCAGCTCTTCCAGAGGCTGAAGCTATCAAGCCTCAGCCAGTCATTCTCATCCACTGCACCCTCTGACACAGACCTGGGGGAGAGCTTGGGGGCCAATGTGCCCACCACAGACTCAGATGAGAAAGATGATGTGTCTGTGTGCAGTGGAGGCTACTCCACTGATGGTGGCTACAGGAGCAGCACGTCGGACCAGGGTGACATCCTGGGGTCTAGGTCAGGTGCCTCCTTGGAGGAGGTGTTGGAAGCTCCATCTCTAGGCCTGGCCAAGCCCGAGCTCTGTTATGAGGCAGAGAGCCCTGACGAGGCAGCGCTGGTGCATGCTGCCCATGCCTACAGCTTCACACTGGTGTCCCGGACACCTGAGCAAGTGACTGTGCGCCTGCCCCAGGGTACCTGCCTCACCTTTGACCTCCTCTGCACCCTGGGCTTCGACTCCATCAGGAAGAGAATGTCTGTGGTTGTGAGGCACCCACTGACCAGTGAGATCATCATCTACACTAAGGGCGCTGACTCAGTCATCATGGACCTACTAGAAGACCCAGCCTGTGGTGAGTCCTCTCTTTTCAGGCCTCCAGGAACAGAAGGCTCTACAGTTTAAGAGGCAGTGTGGGTAGTAATGAAAAGTTCAAATTATAGTGGCGCCTGGTCCAGTTGGTCCCAACTGGAACACAAGACTAAAAGGTGCTCTCCTCAAAGCGAGAGCATTAGAATACACCACCACACTGTACATCTTCTTGACCTGGATAATCACAGTGCTCAGTAGCACAGTGAAGACTATACAGTCTTAGAACCAGCAGTTAGCATAATGGCTATGTCGCTGGACTCCCACATAGTTGACCACGGTTCGAGTTCCAGACCCGGTGGCTTAAACTCACACCAGGCGCGTGTGCATGCATGCGTGCCCAAGATCCTGAGAGGAGAATGGAGGAGAAGGGACTGCGGTGTGACCATTCCCCCTGAGGGATGATTTCTCACTTTCTGTCTCTCTGTCTCTGTCTGTCTGGCGAGCGCACATGCCCTATGGCTAAAACCTCTCCCCCCACCCTCCCCCAAAAAAACTCTACAGACTTGTGGTAGAAAAACTTCTCTAACTACTAATTCCAGTTTCAAGTTTTCCAAACTCAATCACAAGTGATCCACACACAATTTTTTGCACCAGAACATCCACTAACATATCCTAGAACACACCTGGTCCTAACTACTCACTTTGGGAGAGAAGCCATCTGAACCTAGGAAGACACCAGTGACTTAAGAGATGTGACATGAATCACAAGAGGTAAACCCCAGATCCATAGCTTTTCATGCTGCCACAACTCTGCATCTGGCTCAAGTCACTCAGGGAAGCCTCAGGTATCCCTTTTTATCATCCTTCTTCCCAACCTACCCCAGAAGGATTTTTATGAACTTATACAGAGCCAGAAAAATGTTCCAAATTCCCTACATATCAGTGTCCAATTTTGGAGAAGCATGAATTACTGTGCAGCCGCTTCCTGATTGCTAACGAGGAGAAGACAGTTATGGGGCTATGATTCTCCCAGGATAGTAGATTGTAGCCAAGCTTTACAATTGCCTAGGCAGCCCTGTGCCTCCTGCATTATCAACTGTGGATCCAGGCCAAGAGCTTCATGGGGATTGATTAGTGTTTAGAATGGGAAGGGAGCTAATTAGTTCTCTTCATCCCCAGACTCTGGCAGACCAGTGAATTCAGTGCTTCTGAGGCAAGGGAGCCACAGCACTCCACCCCTAGGCAATAGCCATCCAAGCTGTCCTGCAGATGTTTCTTTATTTCTTCCTTACCTGATTGCAGAATGGATTAAAGATGCTTCCAAGAAAAGATTCATACATAATACTACTACAAGAATTAAAGAGTAAACTTTGAAAGACAGGCAAAAAATAACCCCAGGTTTAATATATTCACAATCTTTGGACATTCTATTTGACTCTGAGTTTCCTGGAAGCCTGAGCAAAAAGATAAACTCAAAGGCTCACAAGAAGGAAATGAAAGAATTTAATCTCAGAAACTTATGTCTTTGAAAATAAAATATTTTAAACAGTGTTCAATAAGACTATACCCAAAAGTCTTTGTGCACAATGCACAATGACCAGGGAAACACCTGGAAAAATGAGGAAATAATCTTTGAAAGGATTTTTATATTGTATAAAAGACAGCCTTAAGGTAGTGTCAAGGGAAAAATCAAAACATTTGATCTTCATTGTAAGTATTTATCTCACTATTGAGAATTGATTTTGTTTTATTTTGTATTATATGAGGTACACAAATTCTACTCACTCTTGAGGATCTCTGTAAATCTCAACCCAGCCCTGAAAAAGAGGATTCTGAACCCTTTTCTATGCATAGCTTTATAAAGTGCTGCAAATGATAAGTGATGTCTGTGACAAGTTTAGATAAGGGAAGTAGCAACAGCCTCAATCCTGCCCCACATCAGCCAACCAAGGCTTAAAACTTAGTGTTACCTGATGGATAAAAGTACTGTAATATCAAGAGAAAAAGACAAATTACTTCTGAAAGTAGTGTATTATGTAGAACTTCACAAAGGGGACTTTGAGGAACACAATGAAGTATTTTTCACACTAGATTTACAGGAAATGAAAGAAATACTTTTTCTGAGACCATTTCTTATATAGAAAGAAAGCCTAACTCAGAAAAATGAATGCAGTGAAGAATTTCACTAATGAGATCCAGGTTTCTAGCTGTCTTGGGACCTAACTTAACACAAGGACTGAAGAAAATGACAGAATGATAGATAGTGTAAGATTTAGGGAACAGTTTTGAAAGTCAGTTGGCCATCAAGTGCTAAGCTGGCTACCAAGAAAACACCTTAGGTAACAATAAAGATCTACTCTGGTTCCCAATTGAGCAGGCCTTCAACTGGACTAACAATCTCTACTATATGATTAAGTTCCCAAGAGATTTTCACGTGATCATTACCTTAGGGAACAATGCCTTAGGCCACCTATCTTCCTTAAGTAGCACTTTTCTCAGCCAGGTTTCTGATGAGAAGATGTAGAAAGCAACAATTTAAGGAGTCCTGGAGTTATCACCTCAAGGGCAAGCTGACATCCAGGAGACCCTCTTCATGTTCCTAAGGTGGGCTGTAGGAGGATTCTTCCTCTAAGCCTTTGTAGTCAGCTGGGAAGTCCCAGGCAATTGGGGATGGGAATCTCTAAGCATTTGTATATTGTCTCATGGGAGACAATGACTATTTGACAGTGACTGATATTGACATGGAGAAGAAGCTGAGGAAAATCCAAGCCCGGACCCAAAAGCATCTAGACTTGTATGCAAGAGATGGCCTGCGTACACTATGTATCGCTAAGAAGGTAAGAACGAAATCTTCCATGTGTTCTTTGAATATTATCAAGTAGCAGGATGGCCTTAACCCTGTGTCTGCCTTTTCTTTTTCTTTATTAAAGACCTTTACTGTGGGTTATTTTAGTATTTTCAAGATTAGGGGGCTAGGTGACAGTGTAGTCATAATACAACTGGTCCCATGTGGAAAGGTCCTTGGTTTGTGTCCCCAGACCTCCCTGTACATGCCAGAGGCATGCATGCCCATGATCCAGGTTGGCTAAGGCTGGTGTTACATCACAACATGAACACCCTGCTAGAGACTCCTCTCACAATCTCTCTCTCTCTCTCTTTGAAGAAATAAATCAATTTTATATTAGTTATTCTGTCTCACTACAAAAACCCATGACTTGAATTGTTTTTCTGTAGCAGAAATCTGACAGCAAGGTCCCACCTCAGTGTAGTTGTCATTCCTGTTTTTCAATGTATGTGTACTGTGTACCCAATAACTTAAAATTATTTTTAATGTTATAATTCTGCCTTTGAATTATCCTTTTAAAATTTGCATTATTTACCTTAGTTTAAACTGAGGGGGGAGGGGACTTTAATTTATTTATATTAAAATCTAGAGTTCTGATTTCCCTGAAAAATTTAGATCTGGCAAACCTGTTTCTAGTTGTTTTGTTTTGTTTACCAGAGGGTGTATGCACTTGCCAGACACATAGAGAGAAAGCACTCCCCAAAGGGTCACATTAAAATCCCTTTCTCTTCCATTTCCCCACCACCTCGTCAGGATTCCAGGCTGTGGAATATACTCACATGTGCCTAGCATGTTTTTCAAGTCAGAAGGCCACAATTTGAACTATAGTCTACCATATGAAATCCAGTTTCTGATGGCACTCTGTACTTAACCTCTGTGCTACAGGGCTGGCCTCTGAGTCTCCATTCCTGAATGGCAGAATCAGCTACAATAATGTAGCAGTAAATTCCACTGATGAGGGATACATTCAGCTATATTCTACAATTGGCCACAATCCTTATCAGTCCTTATTACACTGCCATTGGTTCAGTTACAGTCATGTAGATTCCTCAGCTTATGCTCTACAGATCTTTGTCTTTGTAAGCTGGCAAAGAGAAATTGAATCACAGACCAGGGCATATAATGAAGCTCCTAGTATCTTGTAGGGATGTTATTGTTGAGCATATATTTTTTAATAGCTAGAACTGATTTCTCATCCATAAATTTCCAGGGTTTTTCACCGCTTCTAAGGTTCTTTGTACAGTATAGAAATTAAGAACGCCCAGTTAAAGGTAGACCCATCTAGGTACAAATCCTAACCTCGCCACTTTGTGATGTATGACTGTGAGTGAGTTCCTTCATCCCTCTGAGTTTTATCTATAAGATGGTGCTCTAATGTTCCCTAACTCACATAACTGTCAGGGAGAATAAAGTAGTATAGGTACTATACAGTGCCAGGGACAATGATACGTGCTTACTACTCCATGAATTGTAATTATACCTTTACCACCTTCTGTTTTTCACTCGACATATTTGTGTGTATCTTGCCTTCTCTAATAGACTGTATATCCCTCAAAAGAAAAATATCTACCTATGCCCCCCTTGGTTTTCCCTACAGTGGGATTCAAGATTTTATTGCCTAGACAAAATAATCATTCATTGCTATGAAACAGTATCTTGTAATGCCAACAGAAGAGTCTAACAATGCTAAGGGACTCCAAGGGAGGAAGATATAGCCTCTAGTTGGATTCTGTCAGCCACTGGGCACCTCGTGTGTGTGACACCATTTATGGGGGAGTGGTCTATGAGCAACATGAGATCTGGATGCTGCTTTTCTTTCCAGTCTCATTGCTAGCCCCTCTCATCTTGTTTTCTCTTTTTCTACCAAACGATGTATTCAAGAACAAACGAAGGCCAAGTTCATTTATGTTTCACACTCTTTGCACATGCTCTTCCCCATGACTGACCCTTCTCATCACTGTATCTTAGTTTACATATCATCTTGCCAAAGAGACCTGGGTATCCAAAATAAATGCAGCCCCTCTCCTCCACTAGTCCCCTACTCCATCACACTTTATCATATCACCCTTTTTATCTTCTGTATAGCACTCCTTGAAGCAATTTAATCTAATCTTTTTCATTATTTACATGGATAACGTCTCTGGTCCTCCACCAGCACAAAAGCCCAGACATACATGGATCTTGTCTGTCATTATCATTTCCAGTGTGCTGAGCAGAGTAAGGGTTCAATGAATTTTTGGTGATAATGGAACATAATGATCAACCCTTCATTGAATAATACTTTCAAAAAAGAAGTCACTGAAAAGAAATTCCCATCTAATTACGTAGTAAAGTTCAAACAGGCTCCTAGGAGGCTCAGCAGATGATAAAGAAGGAGGGAGTCCACTTGCTGACACGGCCAAGGTTGTTAACAAGCCTCTTCCTGTCCTATAGGTCATAAGTGAAGAAGACTTCCAGAGATGGGCCAGTTTCCGGCATGAAGCCGAGGCATCCCTCAATAATCGAGATGAGCTTCTAATGGAGACAGCTCAGCATCTGGAGAATCGACTCACCTTACTCGGTAACTAAACATTATGTCATCATTACACATAAAAAAAGGAATGCTGCAAATTAAGAAGGGAGTTCTTGGCCCTGATTCTGACACTGCTACAAATGTGCCTCAATTAGCAGCTTTCCCTGGGGTGTCTCTCCAAGTATTTGGCATAAATGGGCTATGCCAGTTCCCAACCAGATTCCATACACAGCTCCTAAGGATCCCCTGGGAACACTGCTGCTTTCCCTGATAGAAGTCTGAGTGCAGCTCCTTCTCTGATAGTACATTCCCTTGTTCTTTCAAATGTTCCTGAGCACCTACTGTGTGCCAAGAACCATGCGAGGCACTGGGGCTACAACAGAAAACAAGAGGCAAAGAATCTGCTCTCTCCAAGCTCTTAATCTAACAAGAGCACTGTATGAGTAACCAAGTCATTTCAATGGAGATGAGAACTGGGCTGGAAGATGTACTAGGTAGAATGGAAGCACAGAGTAGGAGGTGCCAACCTTAGCCCTGGACCAGGTATGGCCTAGGGAAGTCCATTAACTTAAAGGAGAGAACAGGAGCTGGCCAAATGGAGGAGAGTACAAGGCAGAGGGAACAAGCCAAATTAAGACCTGGAAATAACATCCCAGACCAGATGGAAACAACAGAGGTCTTTTATAGCTGGATCTCAGAAGGTGGGAGAGAAACTTGAGATGAGAGAGGACAGAGGAACCCAGACTATGAAGGGCTATATACATCAGATCCCAGGAGAGGAGAAGGAAGTAAAAGTAGGGACAAATTCATGCTTTACCAGCATTATTCTGGTTGGTGATATACAGACGTTAGATTGATATGCTGGGAAAAAGATGAGATACACAGAGACTAGGTTGTTAAGAACTAAGTTGTATTTCTTTTGGAGAAAAAGCATTACCAAGGAAGAAATGGGAGGCATTATTTACCAGGATTCATCTCCTCATGTCTCTGGAGCAAGATCTAGGTAAGGTGATGCCCAAACAGCACATCCTGACCATGTGGCAAAAAGCCCTTATTCAGCTTGGAGGACAATGCTGACCTGGGGACAAAGGTCGGGTTTCATCTCTGCCATGACCTTGCCATGTTCCCAGGAACATGGCCCTGCACCACTCTGAGCCTTAACTTCTCCTCCAGATGAATCACACTCCTCAAAAGGTTAAGGTTCTGAGGGAAAAGACGCAAGGTTGTGTAAGATGGTAATGCCACTTCTTCAGCTTGGAAGGACATTGGTGTTGAGGCATAGTAACTGCCATGGCTTCCAGTGCTTTGGTGACACCTCAGATACATGGCCTTCTGTATAAGCATCTGCGATTTCATATTGTTGGAGCATTCATTGTATCCCTGAGTGTTGCAGCTTTCTGTAAGTTTGCTGTGGCTAAACCAAGAAATAAGGCATATGCAAATTTCTACAGAAATTATGATACCATGAGAGATTTTGAAAAGATGAGGAAGGCTGGTATCCTTCAGACTACAAAGTGATCTGGGAATGTAAAGAATGTCATTGGAGGCACCGCGCGGGGCGCCCGGCGGAAGCCGCGCGGGGCGCGGGAGCTCATGCCCCCGGA